TCTTAGCTTATTTCAACTTCGTAGTTTGCTGCCTTGGTTCTTGTGACTATGTGCTTGTGTTCCTCGTTGTGTTTGGTTCCCAGTCTGCTATATCTGTTTCCAATGACCATCCTTTGCCGCATTCTTCTCTTTACCTCTGTGGGGTACAGATCCTCCCCTTTCCCTCACCCCCATTCTGATCACCCCACTCTGATCAATGATGACAGATTGGACTAGGGACCATCTTTGTAAGGGGCAGTCCATGGCCACATTCCTTGATGATGCTGAAAAACCAGAAAGCTCTGACTTCCATCTAACGGGGCCTCCACTCTAGCCCCTCACTGCAGACTTCCCCTCCTTCTTCCCCCATGTAACTGGCATGGTAACAGGCACTCAGGGAGCCTCTTGCAGGGGATGCCTTGAATTTTCTCGCCTCCTCCCACTGGTTTTCCCCAAGCCTGGTGAATTCCAGAATGCGAATTCTGGAGGGAGGTGGCTAAATTGCCATCCCTGGCTTTATACTGTAGGATATATCTGGTACTTTGGTGCGGAGGGGCATTGTTCTTGATCCTGTCGACCATCAGAGTACAATCTGGCTCCCAGAGAAAGGTCAGGTTTGCTGCTCTGCAGTGGTGAACAGCAGAGGTGGGCCCGGACTAGCAGCAGCAGCAGCCCCTGGGGGACTCACTAGAAATGCAGACTCCCAGGCACCCTCCTCCCCCAAGACTGTCTGACTCTGCATCTTCCTTTCATCCAGGTCCCCACATATCCTAGGCCATCCCGGCTGCACCCCCCCACACCAGATACTTCGTTGTGAGGTGGGGGCACATGAGGACCTCTACCTATGATTCTTTTAATGTAAGGAAGTAGGAAATACATTAAGCTTGACTAGCATTTGATATCTGCATGGACGCTGACCAGTGGTCTTTTGTCCTGGTCACTTCTCCCGTTACCCTTGTGGGGGGTGTCAAGGAGAGACACTATTGCCACGAATCATTTTATTTGATTTCAGTATGATGCAATGTGCATACTAGGGTAAAGTGTATTTACAGCATATATTATTTAATTTTTAAACCAACCCTCACAAAGTGAACAAGATGGAGAGCTTAAAGAAACACCCACAAAAATAATAAAATGCAGGTTTGAGTTAGTGACAAGAAAGTGGAACTTCTGACATCAGCTTTACAGCCTTCACTGACGATGAAAAAAACCCACAGATTTTATCATATCTGTAATGTTAGCACATACGTATAGATAGATATACTCTATTCTAAAACAGCGTATGTATAGGGGGATAAATGCGCCAAAGATCTGGGGCATTAGAATTTCCACACTTCAGAATTTCAGCTCTGGCCCTAGGATCCTCGCTGATTAGATGTGACTGTGGACACCTGAGATGGGGGCTCTGGTTTTTCACGTCCCCCTGATAGGGGTGCCGCTTGTAACTGCATTGTACTAGGGTTTGGGGCTCCTGGCTCCAAACAGTCCTTTCCTGGCTTGCTCCTTCCCTCCCTCTTTCCTTCCCTCCTTCCTTTCTTCCTTCTCTCTTTTCCTGCCAGCCTGCCTTCCTGTCGTCCTCCTCAACTCCTTTCCTCTCTTCTTCCCATTCTCCCTGTCTTCCTTTCTTCTTTCCCTCCTCATTTGCCGCTGGCATAGCCCCCTCCCTCCAGGACCTGTTGGGAGTAGCCGCGCCCACAGTGAATACAACTGGGGATGTTGGCATCTGGGGCCCTTTGCTGTCTCTTCCCCCAGGTTCACAAGGAGGGGTGCCCACTGGCCCTGCCACCGCATAGAATCCCAGCTTGACCTCGCCGCACAGAACACTGTCTCTTGCACCATGCATGATGGCTGCTTCTGATCAAACCACTTGCTCACCTGAAACGTTTTCATCGCACCTTCCACCTCATACAAGTTGCACAGTGCTCTTGTAGGTTTTCAGAAGTATTTATGAAGGGCATGTGCTGAGAGTCCAAGATTAAAGAATGATTATTTGGGCCGGGCGCGGTGGCTCACGCCTGTAATCCTAGCGCTCTGGGAGGCCGAGGCTGGTGGATCGTTCAAGGTCAGGAGTTTGAGACCAGCCTGAGCAAGAGCAAGACCCCGTCTCTACTAAAAAAATAGAAA